GTCTGATCTCCTTGTTCTTCATCTACTCCGTTTTCTACAGTATCAGTAGCACAAAGTGATTAGTTACAAAGAGCTGCAATGCAATTATGACTTAAACAGATAAATAATTAATTATGAGTAGAAAAGTAGAAATAAAATGCATTCTAAAAGTCAATTAGACAAAATAGGTTTAAAAGACCTTGAACCTGTGTGTCTTGTGACTTTTTTGGTACCTTTCTCTTTATACACTAAATCTAATATATAAACAACGTACTAAACTGTTAATTAAAAAAATAAACAACAACTTAAAAGCAAAAAAATCCCAAAAGTCCCATTCAAGTCTCAATCCTAACACAAAACTTTTTAAAAAGTCTCCCCACCAAGAGAACCTCAAGAGAGATTTCCACAGCCTCCCTCCCCAGCCGTCCTCTCCCAGTCCTGCTGAAAGGATTTGTTGGACACCCAGGAGCTGGGAGAGAAGCTGAGGAGCAGACGAGGCACCTGATATCCATAAAAACCCTCAATCCACCCAAGAAAATCCCAAATATCCCAAATATCTCTGCTGCCAAGGTCAGCAGTTAGGAACTCTCTCCCTTGGGATCCGTTTGGTTTCACTTTTCCTTCTGTAGCTCTGTAGTTACACAAAAAAAATTTGGCATTACTGATATTTTACAGGAGAATGCTGAAAACATTTGGCTTAGAAGGACCTTAAAGTCCATCCAGGAGCTGAGCCCGTGGCAGGTGACAATGCAATGGCTCATTTTTGTCACCAGGCCACTTCCCTTCCTCAGAGCCTTCCCAGGAATTTCCTCTTGGAAATGAGGCTTGGATCAGCCTGGGACAGTGAAGGGGATGGAATGAGGAGCTTTAAGGTCCCTTCCAACCCAAATCTTTTTGTGATTCCCCTGTAAAATGTCACGTTTGTTTGTTTGATGGGGTGATAAAAGTGAAAACTAGACCAGGAACAACCCTGCCACGGGAAGAGAAATTTTTATCAGCAGATTTAGGGGCGGTGTTCTTGTGCTCTACTGCAAGGTGAACAGAGATGGCCCCTGCAGGAGATGGATTTGGAGAGAGTTTTTATCCAGAGAAATAAAACTATGAAAAAGGCATTCACAAAGAGTAATTTTAGTGTAGGAAAAGCCAATAGGCCAAGAAACGCTTATAATATATTGCAATTAAGAAATAGTTAATTTTGATGGCGTGAATTATAACATCTGTGTTGTCTCACCTTTCACATGAGGCTGAAAATAGAATAAAATGTTTTAAAATTCTTCTCAGTTTTCACAAAGCATAATCCAACAGCCCAAGAAGCTGGTCCATGGCCACCACCCTGGAAGAGTGTCCCTCACCTGGCAGGGCTCAGTGCCACACAGAGAGGTGACACAAGGAGAAACAAGAGGTTCGGTCGCAGAATCACGGAATCATTTGGGTTGGAAAACACCTCCAGGACCATCAAGTCCCTCCTCTGACTGATCCCCACCTTGTCACCAGCCCAGAGCACTGAGTGCCACGTCCAGTCCTTCCCTGGGGACTCCAAACCTCCCTGATCAGCCCCTGACCACCCTTTCCATGGAGAAATTCCTCCTGATGTCCAGCATGACAAGGTTCCCTCTTGTCCTGTCCTTTATTCCCTGGAAGCAAAAGACAAATCCTGCCTGGCTGCACCCTCCAGAAACAGAAATTAAATCCCTTCAGGTCACCTCATTCCTTGTTTTACGGACCACAACACCCTGGGAGACATCAAAGATGTGGCACCAGCGGGGGAAAAAAATAACAAAATGAAAATGTAAATCCCTGGATGCACGCAAGTAAAATCAGCAAAAATCAAATAAAGTTGGAAAACACCTCCAGGACCATCAAGTCCCTCCTTGTCACCAGCCCAGAGCACTGAGTGCCACGTCCAGTCCTTCCCTGGGGACCCCAAACCTCCCTGATCAGCCCCTGACCACCCTTTCCATGGAGAAATTCCTCCTGCTGTCCAGCCTGACAAGGTTCCCTCTTGTCCTGTCTTTTATTCCCTGGAAGGAAAAGACAAATCCTGCCTGGCTGCAGCCTCCAGAAACAGAAATTAAATCCCTTCAGGTCACCTCATTCCTTGTTTTACGGACCACAACACCCTGGGAGACATCAAAGATGTGGCACCAGCGGGGGAAAAAAATAACAAAATGAAAATGTAAATCCCTGGATGCACGCAAGTAAAATCAGCAAAAATCAAATAAACAACGAGCATCCCGCGTTTAACCCAATCTTTATTCAGAAAACCAAATAAAGGAAAACCACCGTGGCAAGGCTGCACGAGGAGTTTCCTGTCCTGCTTTTCCAGGAGGTTGGATGCTCCTTCTGTGGAAAAAGTTGAAGGACACAGATTTGGTTCACCTCCCGCCACAAGGCAGGATCTGCTCTCCCTAAACCACTCCTGGCAGTGTTTGTGGGACCTCAGAATCTCCAGATTCCACCCTCAATCCCCAGGAAAGCTGTTCCAGCAGGGAATTCTCTGCAGCACTGGATTTTCCTCGTGTCTAAACTGTGTCTCCGTAACTGCGACGCGAGCCCAGGATCTCCTGCCCTCTCCAGAGCGAGCACAGGGGTCAGGTCACTCCCTTCCTCTTTTTTGGCATCTTCTGTGTTTCATTGAAAGGTGTTTTTACACCTCTTCTCCATTTTCCCTGCAGCACAGGGATGTTTTTCCATGTTTTCTGCACCTCTGGCTTGTTCCCAGCTTTCCCAAAACGCAGGGAGCAGAGCTGGGAATGGTTCTGCCTTTGGGATATTTCCCTTTGTTTAAGACTCTCCCAGCCTGTGTTCAGTTTGTGACCCGCCCTCATTCCCAGTGATTTCTTCTGCAGAGCTGCAGCATCCTCAGATTCTCTCAAATGTGAAGTTTTTGGGTGTCGCTCTTTCGTGCAGCACTTTTCCATCTGCAGACCTTTCCAGCCTGATTTCTAAACCCCCAAAATTCAGGAAATCATCTGCAGATGGAATCCAGGAATCATCAAGGTTGGAAAAGCTCTCGGATCATGGAGTGCAAGCATTAAATGAGGATTTGTTTTCCGTTCCATCGCCTGGATATCGCTGAAAATGCTTAACAGGAGTTGGGACAGCCTTCCAGTTTGAGAATAAATCCCTTGCACTACCCTGAGCATGATCCCAGCCAGGAAATCCAAGCTCCAGCAGCTCCATTTAGTCCAAATTTCCCGAGACCACTTGGAGAAGGTCATGGGAACCAACTGTGAGTGTCTGTCAGAAACTTCCCTCATTTCTTGCCTCTCGATCGTCATGAAAGCCAGGACCACCGGGGAAAGGGAAAGATCCTGTTCTGAAAATCCAGGTCTGTCTGGTCCACCAAGCCAGATTATTGCCTACGGGTGTGTTTGCTCAACTCATGGAACACTGCACCCAAGAAGGGGCAGTGTGCTCTCCTTCGCCTGCATCACCTAGCAACGCTAGTGCTGGAATTTCTCCACCCTTCTGACTTGGCTGGACTTTCTCTCTGGAATGACCTTCCCGGAGGTCACCACAAAAGGACCCTCCACTCACCATACATCAACCACCGTGACAGATGGACTGAGATGGGAGAAGGTTCTCCCTCAAGGACTGAGACGTGCGACCCCTACATGGAAAAGCTCCCCTCTTTTCCCAAAAGGACTGAGACTGAAATCCCCACCGTAGGGTGAGGGAAGGTATGCGTACAATGGTTCCTGCCTACGACATCTGCTGCTGACGACACCTGCTCCTGATGGACTCCTGATGGACTCCTTGTACCCTTTATCAACAGACTATTTTGAAATGTGTCCCCTTCCCCCATTCCAAAAGGACTGTAACAGAGGTTAGAGCTGACTGATACCCTGAGATCTCCCCTGACGTGAAGACGAGAGGCTCTTCGTCGACCGCACTTCGAGGGACTTTGTCATCCACGTCTGGTAGCTGTACACCTCCTTGCCTTTCCTCTCTTCTCTTCTTTATTCCTTCCCTTTTCTCCTTCCCCTTCTCTCTAACGCATCTCTGCTGTGGCTCCTCAATAAAAGTATCTCTGTTTTGATTTCACTGCGAACCCCCTTGTCGTGTCGGTTTTTGCACCCTGAGATCAGTGAGAAAGAACCTTCACCAATCACGTCCTGGGGACGGATCGTGTCAGGAGGTCACCACTAAAGGACCCTCCACTCACCGTGCACCAAGCACCGTGACAGAGGGACTGAGATGGGAGAAGGTTCTCCCTCGAGGACTGGGACGTACGACCCCTACGTGGAAAAGCTCCCGGCTTCTTCCCAAAAGGGCTGAGACTGAAATCCCCCCCGTAGGGTGAGGGAAGGCGTGCGTGGGGACCAAAGCAAGTTTTGCAAGCGACCACTGGACCGAGAAGACAAAGAAGGTTCTTGCCTACGACGTCTGCTGCTGATGGGTTTTATGTTTTCTACTTGCTGCCTATCCCATTAAAAGCTGGGTTTTGAACAATAATCACTAAATTATTTAATTTCCTTGGTGTCCCTGAAATTCCTTATTACCAAAACACAACAAATTACGGAAAAAATTATTTCCTATCAAGACAAATAATCCATAAAATCAAAATATTTGCCTGTAAAGACCATCTGAGACGCAAAAAAAAAAAATTCATGAGTGACTTATTAAGCACAAAGAATCATCAGTTCCAACCCAAACCAATCTCTGTGTGCACTTGGTAGATAAAATGTCATTTATTACAGATTTCAAAGACCCTCCAGCAGGCCATGGAAGCATGTGAACATCCAGCATCTCCTTTGAAGAATTCACAGACATTTCCCAGGTTTTTTATCTCATTTCAGCTCATTCCAAGGACGGAATGTGATTTCCCAACTTCAAAACTTGCAGAATGTGGGAACTGAGGGAATTGATAGCTTTACTCTCCTCAAAAGCACAGCAGTCACATCAGGGAAAGTGAATCAATTTTGCAAAGAGGAGAAAATTTACATTCCCATGAGATAAACGCCTGATCACTTCCAAAATCTGCCTCTAGCAAATATTTATTTAAAGAGAAAATTTACCCATTTTCCAAGCAGGGCTCTTCTTTCTTCAAATACCTATAAAACACAGACAAAAAAAAAAAAAAGAAAATTGAGAATTTAGAGGGGACTCAGTACCTGCTGAGAAAAAAACAGCTTGAAAAACAATCCGCAAAATATCAACAGAATGGATGATTTTGGAAAAAAATTATGGAGTTCCCTTAATCCAAACTCCCTGAGAGGATCAGCTAAAGGAGTAGCTCAGGCAAGTCCATGAGTTTTGTGCATTTTATTGGATGGAGATTCCAGAACCTCCCTAAACATCAGGTTCTCCATTTCCTTAATCGTTCCCGAGGCCCTGTGCTGGATTTATTCCATAAATCCATTTTTATTTATTTGGATATTTCTGTATTTTATTTGGATTTATTCCATAAATCCATTTTTATTTATTTGGATATTTCTGTATTTTATTTGGATTTATTCCATAAATCCATTTTTATTTATTTGGATATTTCTGTATTTTATTTGGATTTATTCCATAAATCCATTTTTATTTATTTGGATATTTCTGTATTTTATTTGGATTTATTCCATAAATCCATTTTTATTTATTTGGATATTTCTGTATTTTATTTGGATTTATTCCATAAATCCATTTTTATTTATTTGGATATTTCTGTATTTTATTTGGATTTATTCCATAAATCCATTTTTATTTATTTGGATATTTCTGTATTTTATTTGGATTTATTCCATAAATCCATTTTTATTTATTTGGATATTTCTGTATTTTATTTGGATTTATTCCATAAATCCATTTTTATTTATTTGGATATTTCTGTATTTTATTTGGATTTATTCCATAAATCCATTTTTATTTATTTGGATATTTCTGTATTTTATTTGGATTTATTCCATAAATCCATTTTTATTTATTTGGATATTTCTGTATTTTATTTGGATTTATTCCATAAATCCATTTTTATTTATTTGGATATTTCTGTATTTTATTTGGATTTATTCCATAAATCCATTTTTATTTATTTGGATATTTCTGTATTTTATTTGGATTTATTCCATAAATCCATTTTTATTTATTTGGATATTTCTGTATTTTATTTGGATTTATTCCATAAATCCATTTTTATTTATTTGGATATTTCTGTATTTTATTTGGATTTATTCCATAAATCCATTTTTATTTATTTGGATATTTCTGTATTTTATTTGGATTTATTCCATAAATCCATTTTTATTTATTTGGATATTTCTGTATTTTATTTGGATTTATTCCATAAATCCATTTTTATTTATTTGGATATTTCTGTATTTTATTTGGATTTATTCCATAAATCCATTTTTATTTATTTGGATATTTCTGTATTTTATTTGGATTTATTCCATAAATCCATTTTTATTTATTTGGATATTTCTGTATTTTATTTGGATTTATTCCATAAATCCATTTTTATTTATTTGGATATTTCTGTATTTTATTTGGATTTATTCCATAAATCCATTTTTATTTATTTGGATATTTCTGTATTTTATTTGGATTTATTCCATAAATCCATTTTTATTTATTTGGATATTTCTGTATTTTATTTGGATTTATTCCATAAATCCATTTTTATTTATTTGGATATTTCTGTATTTTATTTGGATTTATTCCATAAATCCATTTTTATTTATTTGGATATTTCTGTATTTTATTTGGATTTATTCCATAAATCCATTTTTATTTATTTGGATATTTCTGTATTTTATTTGGATTTATTCCATAAATCCATTTTTATTTATTTGGATATTTCTGTATTTTATTTGGATTTATTCCATAAATCCATTTTTATTTATTTGGATATTTCTGTATTTTATTTGGATTTATTCCATAAATCCATTTTTATTTATTTGGATATTTCTGTATTTTATTTGGATTTATTCCATAAATCCATTTTTATTTATTTGGATATTTCTGTATTTTATTTGGATTTATTCCATAAATCCATTTTTATTTATTTGGATATTTCTGTATTTTATTTGGATTTATTCCATAAATCCATTTTTATTTATTTGGATATTTCTGTATTTTATTTGGATTTATTCCATAAATCCATTTTTATTTATTTGGATATTTCTGTATTTTATTTGGATTTATTCCATAAATCCATTTTTATTTATTTGGATATTTCTGTATTTTATTTGGATTTATTCCATAAATCCATTTTTATTTATTTGGATATTTCTGTATTTTATTTGGATTTATTCCATAAATCCATTTTTATTTATTTGGATATTTCTGTATTTTATTTGGATTTATTCCATAAATCCATTTTTATTTATTTGGATATTTCTGTATTTTATTTGGATTTATTCCATAAATCCATTTTTATTTATTTGGATATTTCCATATTTTACATGGATTTATTCCATAAATCCGTGTATTTCTTGTACCAAGGAGCCCAGAAATGGGCCCAGAATTCCTCTCCTGCCTCCTACACTCCTCCCTTGACTGTTCCTTGGGGATCCTGTTGGGAATTTTTCATCCCCTCACTCCTGGAACTCCTGGATCCGATGCCACATCCCTGGAAGTGTCCAAGGCCCGGCTGGATGAGCTTGGAGCAGCCTGGGACAGTGGAGGTGTCAAGGCTGGAATTGGATGAGCTTTAAGGTCCCCTCCAACACAAAATATCCAGGGATTAGGAGGCCACGACCTCTCTGGGAAATCTCAGGGTGTCCCCACCCTCACAGCCAGGAATTCCTGCCCAATGTCCCATCTAAATCTCACTTTTCCAGTGGGAAGCCATTCCCTGTGTCCTGTCCCTCCAGGCCTTGTCCCCAGTCCCTCTCCAGCTCTCCTGGAGCCCCTTTGGGCTCTGGAAGGGCTCTGAGCTCTCCCTGGATCCTTCTCCTCTCCAGGGGAACATTCCCAGCTCCTGGAATGGCTCTGAGGTTTCCCTGGATCCTTTTCTTCTCCAGGTGAACACCCAAAGGTCCTGGAAGGGCTCTGAGGATCCTTCTCCTCTCCAGGTGAACATTCCCAGCCCCTGGAAGGGCTCTGAGGGTCCTTCTCCTCTCCAGGTGAGCACCCAAAGCTCCTGGAAGGGCTCTGAGCTCTCCCTGGATCCTTCTCCTCTCCAGGTGAGCACCCCCAGCTCTCCCAGCCTGGATCCATGGGAATTCTTCTCTCCTGGACACGCAGAGATGGGAGATGCCCCAAAAGCTGAACTTCCCACCTCTTTATTTCAGAAATTCCACTAATCCTGAAATCCTGCAGGGATTCAATCCCAGCTCAGCAAAACCTTCAGGAAGGGCTGGCGAGAGCAGCCTTTGTTCCCACGAGGACGATCGGTGTCAAAATCCAGAGCAGGATTTCTCGTGCCGACCTTTATCCCGAAGCACCAACACGTGGCTCCCACCACCACAAATCCACCTCGGGACCGTGACCTGGGAAGCGAGGGAACACTGGAAGTGATTTTTCCAGCAGCCAGATCAAAGAGAGAGAGAAGGGACAAAAAGCCCGGCACATAAAAGGGCGATTAAACAGAAAACACCGGATTGTTGTGAACTCCAGGCTCTGACGTTCTGCGGAGGTGGCTCCTGCAGAGAGGGACATGATCAGAGCTGGTGCCTGCTGCAGCAGATCACAGAATCACAGAATCACAGAATCACAGAATCACAGAATCACAGAATAGCTCTGCCTCTGCCAGCAGGAGCGGCGGCTGGCCGAGGATCTGCGGTGGAAAGGCTGCTGCCCAACAGGAGGGAAGAGTTGGACTCAGCTCTCCTCAGCCGAGGATCCGCGGTGGAAAGGCTGCTGCCCAACAGGAGGGAAGAGTTGGACTCCAGCTGTAGTACAGCCCGGATTTATTCCAGGGGAAACTCCCACGAAAACCCCGAGCTGGGGTCCGACGCGAGCTTATAGAGAGGGGAGGGTACAGACACGGAGTTTGGTCTCCAGCCTATGAACGTGAGGGTGGGAGTGAAGAGAGAGAGACAGGCACAATGGGAAAAACAATAGGGAAAGGTGTGGGGCGGGACCCTGGCCCTGAGCCAATCACTCGATGCCCTGGCTGGAAGGTTCTAGATGGAAAGGATGGGCCACGAGTGACAGACAGGGCACCAGGGAGGGACTGAGGAACTGATGCGTTTGTTGTCAATGGCAACGGGGAGGAAAGAAACTCAAGGAGAACCGAGGCAGAACCCTTACAGCTAAAGGGGGACACAGAACGAACCAATTTACAACTTCATCAGGCTAACGTGTAAGAAACACACCACAACACCAGCAGGAGCGGCTCCGCCGAGGGCTGGGAAATGACGTTTCTTTTATTTGCGCCTTGGCAATTATCATTTGTTTTATTTTGTGAGGGACGTTGGAAAAAAAAAACCCAAAAAAAACCCTAACGAAGCTAAGAAGCTGAACTTGGAAAAAGGATTTGCCCCAGGGAGGTGATGCGCAGTCGGAGATCTGAGATTTGGGCTGGAGGATTCCAGGAGGAGGGAGCTGTTTGTGGCCTTGGATCAAAGGCAGGCGCGGATTTGCTGTCGGCGTTCTTGGAGGCACATCTGAGCCGAGGCTCTCCCAAAGTTCTGCCTCTCCAGGCACTTGGGAGCGTTAATTAGCGACAGAACGGCCCCAGTTTGGTGTGATGATCATGTCCTCTGCTCCAAGGCCTTGGAGCTACACCTTGGAGTGCTCCGGGAGGGTTTTGGGATCTGCTGTCTCACATCCACGGCTTCAGGGGGTTTAAGATGCTCAAGTGGCTGGAAAATCCCTCCATCCTTCGCTCCAAGTGCCACTGGAGAGAGGCTCCTCTGCCTCAGACCTGAATTCCTGCCCAAATCCTGAATTCCTGCCCAAATCCTCTCCCAAATTCCAGTCCTGCCCTTGCTTCGTCCTCACTCTGGAGTAGCTGGGATTTCATCCCTGGTTTTGTGAGCGTGAACGATTTGGGATTTCCTGAATCTGGGATTTCCTGATTTGGGATTTCCTGATTCTGGGATTTCCCGATTTGGGATTTCCTGATTCTGGGATTTCCCGATTTGGGATTTCCTGAATCTGGGATTTCCTGATTTGGGATTTCCTGATTCTGCCTCCTTGACTTTGGCCTTTCCCTCCTGGTGATCCTGCCTTTAAAATCAGCCATGGAATCATGGAATGGTTTGGGTGGGAAGGGACCTTAAAGCTCATCCAGTTCCGTCCCCGACACCTTTTGTTGTCCCAGGTTGCTCCAGGCCCCGTCCAGCCTGGCCTTGGACACTTCCAGGGATCCAGGGGCAGCCACAGCTGCTCTGGGTTGGGATTGAATCCCTGCAGGATTTCAGGATTAATGAAATTAATGAATTAACAAGGTGGGAAGTTCAGTTTTTGGGGCACCTCCCATGGCTGCGTGTCCGGGAGAGAAGAATTCCCATGGATCCAGGCTGGGAGAGCTGGGCCAGAGCCGAAAGGGGCTCCAGGAGAGCTGGAGAGGGACTGGGGACAAGGAATGGAGGGACAGGACACAGGGAATGGCTTCCCACTGCCAGAGGGCAGGGATGGATGGGATTTGGGAAGGAATTCCTGGCTGTGGAATTCCTGGAATAGAATTCCCAGAGAAGTTTTGGCTGCCCCTGGATCCCTGGGAGTGTCCAAGGCCAGCCTGGGACAGTGGAAGTGTCCCTGCCCGTGGAATGAGGTGGGATTTGTGCTTCTCCCAACCCAAACCGTTCTGGAATTCTGGAACTCCTACCACGAAAATCCAGAAAAATCTGCAGGAGCTACCAAAGCAGCACCCCCAGAATTACCCAAAATCCGTCAAGCAGCAAATTCAGGGCACCACAAACCCCCAGCTCTGCTCCCAACCGTGGAATTTGGACGTTTCCACCTTGGACCAGCTCCGAGTCTCACCACTCCCTGTTCGGTTCATTCCCCACACATCCCATCTCTCCCTGCTTTCCCACCCCTTCCATCCGTAAATTCCTTTTCCTTCCATCCATAAATTCCCATTCCATCCGTAAATTCACATTCCATCCATGAATTCCCATTCCATCCATCCATAAATTCCCATTCCATCCATGAATTCCCATTCCATCCATGAATTCCCATTCCATCCATGAATTCCCATTCCATCCATGAATTCCCATTCCATCCATCCATAAATTCCCGTTTTGGGGAATTTTGGGGAATTTCAGGGGTTTGTGATTCCCTGAATTTGGGGGAATTTCAGGAATTTGTAATTCCCTGAATTTGGGGGAATTTCAGGGATTCTCTGATTTCCTGAATTTGGGGGAATTTCAGGGATTTGTGATTCCCTGAATTTGGGGGAATTTCAGGAATTCCGAGATTCCCCGAATTTTGGGGAAATTCAGGGATTTGTGATTCCCTGAATTTGGGGAATTTCAGGGATTTGTGATTCCCTGAATTTGGGGGAATTTCAGGAATTCCCTGATTCCCTGAATTTTGGGGAATTTCAGGGATTTGTGATTCCCTGAATTTGGGGAATTTCAGGGATTTGTGATTCCCTGAATTTGGGGAATTTCAGGTTTTTTTGGGAGCTTGCCTTGTCGTTGATGAGCCGGTGGTTGAGGGGGGTCCAGGAGCTCAGGCGGAGCTGGGAGCCAGCCGGGAATTTGGGGGGAGCAAAGGCCATGGGGGGGATCCTCCTTCACCGGAGCCTGGAAACGGAAAAAGGAAAAGGTGAATTTGCTCTAAATTCCCTTAAAATGGAATTTTAATGTGGGATCCAATGGAACAAAGGTGGGCGTTATCCCTGGGCCATTCCTTCATTTTTATGGAAAAATGATAATATTTTAACAAGGAATTCAGTGGAACAAAGGTGGGCGTTTTTCATGAGCCCTTCCTTCATTCTTATGGAAAAAAATTAGAATTTAAACAAGGAATTCAATGATTTCCTGGAAGAAATGTGAGCGTTATTCCTGAGCCATTCCTTTATTTTCATGGAAAAAATAGAATTTTAGCAAGGAATCCAATGATTTAATGGAAGAAACGTGAATGTTATCCCTGTGCCATTCCTTCATTTTCATGGGAAAAAATAGAATTTAAACAAGGAATCCAATGGAACAAAGATGGGCGTTATCCCTGTGCCATTCTTCATTTTCATGGAAAAATTAGAATTTTAACGAGGGATCCAATGAGTTCATAGAAGAAACATGAACGTTATCCCTGTGCCATTCCTTTATTTCCATGGAAAAATTAGAATTTTAACGAGGAATTCAATGGAACAAAGCTGGGCGTTATCCCTGTGCCATTCTTCATTTTTGTGGAAAAAAATACAATTTTAACAAGGAATTCAATGATTTCATGGAAGACACATGAACGTTATCCCTGTGCCATTTCTTCATTTTAATGGAAAAATTAGAATTTTAACAAGGAATTCAATGGAAAAAAAAAGGGCGTTATCCCTCTGCCATTCCTTTGTTTTCATGGGAAAAAATAGAATTTTAACAAGGAATTCAATGATTTCATGGAAGAAATGTGAACGTTATTCCTGTGCCATTCCTTCATTTTTATGGAAAAATGATAATATTTTAACAAGGAATTCAATGGAACAAAGATGGACGTTATCCCTGAGCCATTCCTTCATTCTTATGGAAAAATAGAATTTTAACAAGGAATTCAATGATTTCATGGAAGAAATGTGAATGTTATCCCTGTGCCATTCCTCCATTTTGTGGAAAAATTAGAATTTTAACAAGGAATTCAATGGAAAAAAGATGGGCGTTATCCCTGTGCCATTCCTTTGTTTTCATGGGAAAAATTAGAATTTAAACAAGGAATTCAATGGAACAAAGATGGGCCTTATCCCTGTGCCATTCTTCATTTTCATGGAAAAAATTTGAATTTTATCAAGGAATTCAATGATTTTATGGAAGAAATATGAACGTTATCCCTGTGCCATTCCTTCATTTGCATGGAAAAAATCAGAATTTTAGCAAGGAATCCAATGCTTTTATAGCACCTAAACGACACAAAATGGAAAAACAATCTGAAATTCAGGTTGCTTGAAGCTTTTTTATTTTGTGTAACCACAACATCCGTGAAGTTTAATCCTAAAATGCCCAAGAACCAGTGGGAAAAACCTGGAGAGGGGGAATTGTCCCTAAATTCTTTTCCGACCCCAAACCCTTCTGGGATTTTGGGATTTCCCACTGGAACCTCATAAATAATTCCTCATTAATCCATAATTAATTCATCATTAAGGTTTTTCCCCATCACAAGTGTTAATAATTATTCTTTTCACAATTCTTGGGAGTTTTCCCAAAAAAATTGCAGACCACGGTTGGACTTGGTGATCCCAAAGGTTTTTTCCGTGATTTTTGCAGGAATTTCCATCAAATAAATCAGATATTTACCAAAATCCCCAGAAATATGGATTTATCAGACATCCCCCAAATCACACATTCACCAAAACCTCCCAAAATCCCCCATTTTTGGGACACCAAATGTGTGAATTTTGTCCAGACAAAGCAATTTCTCCACAAATCCCTGCCCAAAAATAGGAAAAAGGAATTTTTTTTCCCTTTAATCTTCTTTTCTGCAGTTGGATTCTGCAGGATAATTCCTCACCTTAAGCTGCCTGAAAACCAAATAATTTCTTTATCACATTAAAAAAATCTCCATTTCCTGCATTTATTTATTCTGCTTTTTTTTTTTTTTCTCTAAATACCTCAAATCACTCGGAAGCCTCACAGTGGAAGGATGGATAATGGGATTTTTGGGACCAAAAAAAGGCAAATCCATGAATTAAATCCCATACTGAGTTACCAGCCCGTGCTGAACCCAAATCCATCAAAACCCACCCAAAAAAAGGATTTTTGTAGCTGCTCTCAGACCCCCGTTCCTTCCCCAGGTAAAATTTCTCTTTATTTCAATGGATTAATATTCAAAATTCACTGCAGGATTTGTCTGGGAACGTCGATTTTCTGCTTAATTTGTCCTCCCTTTCTGAAGTTATTATGGAGTCAGTAAAATATTTTTAAAATAGACAAACAAACAACCCAAAAAAACCCTGAAAAATGAGGGGAAAAAAGGAACAAAAAAATACACACAGACAAAAAAAAACCCCAAAAAACCATAAAAAACCCCCAAAAAAACTACCAAAAAAAAACCCCCAAAAATAAGACACAAAACCAAACACAAAAAACCTCCAAAAATAATTTAAAAAAGAAAAAAAAAAAGTTGCATTTTTCTCTCCATGCTTGGGAAATAAATTTATTAAAAAATCAGGATTTGGGAAAAATGAGAAACTTTAGGATTTGGGAGAAGTCTGAAAGCTCAGGATCTGGAAAAGGTCTGTGTGAAACTTCAGGATCTGGGAAAAGTCTGTTTAAAAGTTCAGGATTTGGGAAAATGTGAAACTTCAGGAACTGGGGAAAGTCTGAAAGTTCAGAGTCTGGGAAAAGTTTGTCTGAAAGGTCAGGATTTGGGAAAAGTCTGAAAGTTCAGGATCTGGGGAAAATTTGTCTGAAAGTTCAGGATCTGGGAAAAATGAGAAACTTCAGGATTTGGGAAGAGTCTGACTTCAGGATCTGGGAAAAATCTGTGTGAAAATCCAGGATCTGGGAAAAGTCTGAAACTTCAGGATCTGGGAAATGTCTGAAAGTTCAGGATTTGGGAAATTCTGTCTGAAACCTCAGAATCTTGGAAAAATTCGTGTGAAAGTTCAGGATCTGGGAAAATCTGATACTTGGGGATTTGGGAAAAGTCTGGAAGTTCAGGATTAGATCAATGTCTGAAACTTCAGGATCTGGGAAATGTCTGTCAGAAATCTCAGGATTTGGGAAAAGTCTGTGTGAAACTTCAGGATCTGGGAAAATTCTATCTGGAACTTCTGGATCTGGGAAAAAGTCTGTCGAAGTTCAGAATTTGGGAAAAGTCTGAAACTTCAGGATCTGGGAAAAGTTTCTGTGAAAGTTCAGGATCTGGGGAAAATCTGAAACCTCAGGAACTGGAAAAGTCTGAAAGTTCAGGATCTGGGAAAAGTCTGTGTGAAAATTCAGGAAATGGGAAAATCTGATACTTCAGGATTTGGGAAAAGTCTGAAAGATCAGGATCTGGGAAAAGTCTGTGTGAAACTTCAGGATCTGGGAAAATTCTATCTGGAACTTCTGGATCTGGGAAAAGTCTGTCAAAGTTCAGATATGGGAAAAGTCTGAAAGTTCAGGATTTGGGAAAAGTTTGTCTGAAAATTCGGGTATTGGGAAAAGTCTGAAAATTCAGGATCTGGGAAAAATCTGTGTGAAAGTTCAGGAACTGGGAAAATCTGAAACTTCGGGATTTGGGAAAAGTCTGAAAATTCAGGATCTGGGAAAAGTTTGTCTGAAAGTTCAGGATCTGAGAAAAATGAGAAACTTCAGGATATGGGAGGAGTCTGAAATGTCAGGATTTGGGACAAGTCTGTCAAAGTTCAGAATTTGGGAAAAGTCTGAAAGTTCAGGATCTGGGAAAAGTTTCTGTGAAAGTTCAGGATTTGGGGAAAATCTGAAACCTCAGGATCTGGGAAATGTCTGAAAGTTCAGGATCTGGGAAAAGTTTGTCTGAAAATTCAGGTATTGGGAAAAGTCTGAAGCCTCAGGATCTGGGACAAGTCTGTGTGAAACCTCAGGTTTTGGGAAAAATGAGAAACTTCAGGGTTTGGGAAGAGTCTGAAACTTCAGGATCTGGGAAAAATCTGTGTGAAAATTCAGGAACTGGGAAAATCTGATACTTTGGGATTTGGGAAAAGTCTGAAAGTTCAGGATCTGGGGAAAATTTGTCTGAAAGTTCAGGATTTGGGAAAAATGAGAAACTTCAGGATATGGGAGGAGTCTGAAACTTCAGGATCTGGGAAAAATCGGTGTGAAAATCCAGGATCTGGGAAAAATCTGAAAGTTCAGGATTGGGAAAAGTCTGAAAGTTCAGGATCTGGGGAAAATTTGTCTGAAAGTTCAGGATTTGGGAAAAGTCTGTTTGAAACTTCAGGATCTGGGAAAATTCTGACACTAGGATCTAACAAAAGTCTGTGTGAAACTTCAGGATTTGGGAAATTCTGTCTGGAGCCTCAGGATCTTGGAAAAATCTGAAACCTCGGGATCTGGGAGAAGTCCGTGTGAAAGTTCAGGATCTGGGGACAATCTGAAACCTCGGGATCTGGGAGAAGGCCGTGTGAAAGTTCAGGATCTGGGGACAATCTGAAACCTCGGGATCTGGGAGAAGGCCGTGTGAAAGTTCAGGATCTGGGGACAATCTGAAACCTCGGGATCTGGGAGAGGTCCGTGTGAAAGTTCAGGATCTGGGGACAATCTGAAACCTCGGGATCTGGGAGAGGTCCGTGTGAAAGTTCAGGATCTGGGGACAATCTGAAACCTCGGGATCTGGGAGAGGTCCGTGTGAAAGTTCAGGATCTGGGGACAATCTGAAACCTCGGGATCTGGGAGAGGTCCGTGTGAAAGTTCAGGATCTGGGGACAATCTGAAACCTCGGGATCTGGGAGAGGTCCGTGTGAAAGTTCAGGATCTGGGGACAATCTTCATTCCACCATTCCATCATTCCATATTTCCATAATTCCATCATTCCATAATTCCATAATTCCATAAATCCATAATTCCATAATTCAATCATTCCATCATTCCATCATTCCATAATTCAATAATTCCATAATTCCATAATTCCACCATTCCATAATTCC